CTGGGGCAGAGAAGATAGAGTAGATTTTAGCCTTAGAAAGAGCCACTGCCCCTCAGGGAGCTATCCAGGGTACTGACCAGACAGCCTCTGCCTGAAGTGCCCTGGCCACAGAGACCAGGGTTCTCTGTCTTATAGCCAGACCTTAAGCCTCTGTCCACTTTGAAGCCTCCTCTTTTGACTCTGACAACTCCCAACATCTGCCCTAAGCTAAGTCCTACCTCTAGTGTCTGATAGATCTTTGTGCTCTAAGACTGTAGGTTTTATGAAGGTAGAATCTATGTCTCATCTAATCTTCAAATTCAGACTTTGTGTGCTTTGTAAAGACAAAACAAACAAACAAACAAAACCCCCAAGTGTTCTGCCCCTTGTCTCTGGAGAGAAATGAGAAGGTGCGTCTTCTTTGTAGAAATGGTGGTGGGGGACTATGGGTATAGAACATTGCATATACTGTCAGACTTGGTTTCTGTGGTGGTTTGGCCATACTATTTTACACCTTTCAATTCTTTGTTACAAGAGGATCTCTGGATAGGGGAGGAAGAAGGATATATTGGGAAATGAAGGCAATATAAAAACAGAAAATGTAGAATTTTTTCAGGTTTGCTCTTGTTTTCTCTGACCACCACCATTTTCTATACCACCATTGCCTGCCCTGACCTCTGTGACCACCTGCTCCTATAACTTGTTCTTGCTTTGCTCTGATAAGCTATGCAGCAGTAGACTGGATTCCCAACTGAGTTCTTTAAAGCTGGTTCTGACCAAATTATAGAATATAGAAACCCATTAATGCTAGTTCAAGGGCTAGAAATTCCCCATATCCAGGAAGATGCCGGCCATCTGTATCTCTTGAAATGAACTCAATAGTATGCTGCCTCATGGGGCCTGAGCACCAGGGAAAAAGAGCCCCATCTCTGACCTGCCTGAGAAGTCTGATAGAACACTTGAAATGAAAAAGATGAAGTGGGTAAGTTATGGTAATATACTGACTACCAGGGTGTAAATGAGCATCCACAAGTAGGATCTCCTGCCATTGGCCTCTGGAACATTTCTAAGCAGCCAGAGGGTTTGCTAAGCTAAAACTTCAAGATGGCTGGAAAAATGCATTATTAACAACATGATCAGTTTGAGTAACTCCACCATCACCACCACCACGACCACCACCACCACCATCACCACCACCATCACCACCACCACCACCATCACCACCACCATCACCACCATCACCACCACCAACACCACCACCACCATCACCACCACCACCACCACCACCATCACCACCACCATCACCACCATCACCACCACCACCACCACCACCACCATCACCACCACCACCACCACCACCATCACCACCACCACCACCACCACCATCACCATTACAACCACCACCACCACCACATCACCATCACCACCACCATCACCACCATCATCACCATCACCATCACCACCACCATCACCATCACCACCACCACCATCACCATCACCATCACCATCACCATCACCATCACCATCACCATCACCACCACCACTGTGCCTTCAGGTCTTCATAATGCACCTGCTGTTGTTCAGCACCTCTGGATTGATGTTTCTTATCATACCCTTAAATACACATCCCAATCACCCCTGTCATCACAGACTGTCATGTCAACAAAATTCTGGAATCTTGGATCAGTCACCCCAGATTATGATAGACTGGGTGGACTACAGCCCCAAGGATTCTTCCTGCCTCCTCATCTATGAAGGTTGAAATATCTTTCACAGAGCTTACTTAGTGCTGCTGGATTTGGAGTCAAGAGAGAAATGAGTTTCTCTCTCTCTCTCTCTCTCTCTCTCTCTCTCTCTCTCTCTCTCTCTCTCTCTCTCTCTCTCTCTTCCTCCTCCCTCTCTTTCCCTCTCCTTCTCCCCCACCTCTCTGTCTCTGTTCAAATTCCTTGACCATAGTCAAATCCCTTAAAATGCTGTAAGCCTCAGTTTCCTCATCTGTAAAATGGAGTTAATAATATCCATAGTATGTACCTCCCAGGGTGGCTGTGAGGAACAAATGTGTTTATCTATGTAAAGCCATTGGTGAAATTTAAAGCCTTAAATATCTCTTGTCTTTGGCTCAGAAATGCATTTCCATTTAATGGGGACTTATGGCCTCTTGCTTAAACAGACTTGAGAATGCTTCCTAGTGTATTGTTCTCTTGCCCCATGGTCTACATCTCGTCTCCAAGCTCCCAATCCAGCATTGAATGATCTAGCAGATTTCATCCAAGTAAAGAAACAGGACTTTGAGGAGCCACAAGACAAGGATGTCACCAACCACTCCTGGTGGTTACACGAAAAAGCTGGCACTCTTTCCTATTAACTTAAGTAACTTCTGTATGTTTGCCATAGTGGATTCCATGACTTTAGGAAACATTATGGACCACAATTTTGTAACACAAACCAGCATACCTACATGGGCAAAAGCTGAGCCAATAACTGGGGAGATATTAATAACCAACCAATGGGGGAACAGTCTTATTGTCCACTGAGTGCAGTTGAAACTCCTTTGCCTGGCATTTAAAATTCTATGCCACCTGGTACCACCAAACCTTTCCATCCTAATCTCATGCTACCCTCCTTCACATACTCTATGCTTTGCCAATTTGGACAGCTCTCCATTTCTTATATATGGTAATACTCTTCATGTCTGAAATTTCCTATTTCCCCGTCTAAATCCATTGAATTCCTAACCGTCTTCTGAGACCCAACCCAAATGCCAGCTACAGCACTTTATTTTGTCCCTTTCTGTTGCACTTAGCTGATATTTTGCATTACAGTTAACTGTGAGTCTCATTTCTCTATTAGATTATAAACTCCATGAGGGCAGGACTCCCAACAACACCTAGTACTGTGCACTATACATGGCAGGTACCTAATAGGCCTTTATGGGACTGAATTGAATGTGACTCACTCAGCCTAGTTCCCTGTCATCTTGCATATCCAGTGGCTGTGATGATTCAGAACTATGGCATCACCCCTCTGGTGTCCCTCTTCTTCCACAGTGGGTTTTCAGGTGGTTATCACCACCTTAAGTTCATCCTTCTTACAGCTGCTCAAATAATCTTCCTATAGCTTGGGTCTGCCCATGTTACTCCTTAGCTCAAAAACATTGTGCTTCCTAATTGCTCACACAATAAAATATAAACTACTTAGCCAGACAGCCTTGGCTCTCCATGGTCCGTCTCCCATCTACCCTTCTGGTTTTATTTCACACAATTTCCTTTCATGTACTCTACATTCCAGCCAGACTGGAGTTGGAGAGATTGATTCTCCAAATCAGACAGGCCATGTTCCATCTCCATGTATCCACACAAGGCTGTGACCCTGTAGCTGGCAATGAATTTCCTCTTAATCTTTGCTCTTTCTTCCAAATCCCTCGTTTCTTTCAAAGGTTTTCTCAGGTACCACCTCCTACATGAAGCTTTCCCCGATGCTACCAGCTGAAAGCATCCTCCCCCTTCTCAAATGTTCTTAGATCGCTTTGTCAAGAGAGATGCTGATGATAATGGCAACCTCCCCAAGCTCGTGCCAACTGATCAACAGAATGACAAATGCCCTGCATTCCTCAGAATGACCCAACCAATGCTAGACCTACTGGTTCCTCTTCTTTCTTGTGTGCATTTCAAGATTCCTCAGAACCCCAGGTGCTAAAAAATGGAGAGCCAATGCCCACTCTGTTTTATAGAGTATTTGGCCTCAAAGGAGGATCACCCTGTGCCTAGTACATCCTTGGTAATGTAGCTTTCTCCTCCTGGGCCCCAGTTTCCTGCTATGTAAAATGAGGGAGGATTTCATCCACTTTTTGTATTCATATCCCCAATGCCTGGCACCTACTAGGCACTTAATACTTATGATAGATAGATCGATAGATAGATCGATAGACAGATAGATGGTCTAAGGCCTGAAGCAGCTTACATCTTGGTTATTTAACTGAAGGAATGTGGCAAAAAAATCTCTTCAAGCCTACCATGAAGCAAATGCCCATCCCCTCTTTGACTCGAGATGGACTTCCCATAAGATGGCCTGATAGACACGAGGCCCTGCTCAGACATCCCTGGGGATCTTGGCTGGTGTAGGTTATGGACCTGAATCACAGCACCCTGCCTTTGACCTCTGTCTGGTCCAGGGCCCTCTATGTGACAGCCTGAGATGCATGGTAGCTTAGGAGATTGAAGGATGATTCATAGATGAGTCAGAGATGGTATAGATAAATGCTTGCTTATGTGATTTCAGGGGCACTATGAAGGGAACACAGATCTGCACTACCCCAAGTCCTGACACCCTGGCTGAGTGATGTTTGAAATCCTTTAGAGTTACGATCTGGTGAGAAGGCAAATCTGCCCAGGATGGGGCTAGAAGGAAAAGGGATTGGCCAAGGTTACATAAAATCCCTGGACGCTGATGCACCGATGGCCTGTTCCTATAAACGCTAGGTCCAGTGGGAGGCTGCATCTGTTGGCAGTGCTCAGGGGAGCTCATGGGAACGAGCTCGTTGGGAACAGAGTGAGGAGTGGGGATGGGCCCTCCAGTGCTTGGGGCAGCATCCCCCTGCACCCCACATCTGGTGATCCCTGGACTCCATCTGATGCCTTGTGATAGGGGTGAGGATAAATGCATGGAGGACCAGAGGAGGAGGGCAGTGTGGTACTATAGGAGAGGCAACTGGATATGGAGTCAGGGAGGACTTGGGTTCAAATTCTGACATTGCCATTTGCTATGTGGGCAGTAATTTAACCTCTCTGGGCCACAGATTCCATCTGTCCTGGACCAGATGTCAAAGTCACTCCTAGATCTGAATCTCTGGCCCTGCTGCTGCTCAATCATTTCAGCCACATCTGACTCTCTGTGATCCCCATTTGGGGTTTTCTTGGCAAAGACACTGGAGCGGTTTGCCATTCCCTTTTCCAGTGTGCCCCCATTTTACAGATAAAGAAACTGAGGAAAACAGGGTTAGGTGACTTGCCCAGGGTCACACAGTAAGTATCTGAGGTCAATTTTGAACTCAGGTCTTCCTGACTCCAGGTCCAGTGCTCTGTCCACTAAGCCATCTAGCTGACCCTATGATCTTAGGATGCATGATTTTGTCAGAGGGATGAACTTGAGTAAGTCATTAAACTGTTTGGGCCTCAGTTTCCACATCTGTAAAATGAAGAGATCCCAATCGCTGGCACTAAGGTCCCTTCCATCTCTACATCTCTGCTTTTGTTAGAGTGGTGAGAGCTCAAGCAAGTCACTTAAATGTTCTGTACCTCAGTTTCCCCATGTGTAAAAAGAGAGGGGCTTGGAGTAGATGGACTCTAAGTTCCCTTTTCTGGTCAGTTGTTAAGGTGGAGATAGTTAGAGACATGCCCAGGATGAGTGGGCCTGGCACTAGGCATTGCCATGCTTTTTAATTGCCCCTCCTCCTGCCCCCATTTCCCCAGGACTCACCCTACGTTTGACAGAACAAGCCACAGCTGCTGAGGATCACCAGATGTCTGTCCTCATTACCTGGAGAACGTGGTAGAGTGGAGGAGGGAGAGGGAGGGAAGCAGGGATGGGTGAAGGAGGGCTGGGGGTGGGGTGAAGGGAAGGGATGCTGCCCGCCTTGTGCTCCTCTGGGGAATGGCCTAGGAAGGAGGAGGGGGAGGCTGGGGCTACGGGCCCTCCTCCAGGCCTCACACCTTGGCCTTGGCCTTGGCCTTGCTCTTGCAGGAGTCAAAAGGCATCTTGGCCGCACCCCCAAAAGCCTCCACCAACTTGTCATCCCAGGGGATGATGTTGCCCAACAGGGGGGAGGTGCAGTTGGCAATGCCCAGGATCTGGGCCGGCGTCAGGATGTGATCCCACAGGCTGAACTGGGCAATCTCACCCACAAAAGCCTGGGTGGCGTCAAACCGGCCGCCCAGTGTGTCCTGGTCGGAGGACCAAGAGGGGAAGGAAGAAAGGAAGGGAAGAAACAGGGTAAGGGAGGAGAGAGACAGATGCAAATTCAGTTAATACAACACTGTCCCTGGTGCCAGCCTGTCTAAAGTGGGCAGCAGGAGTTTGTGGGAAGGGCCCCAAGTCAGAAACCTGGAGACCTGGGTTTCATTTTATGAACATAGGGAAATGACCCCCTCCCAGACTGTCTTACTTTTCTCTTCTGTAAAACAAGGCTGTATATAACCTCTCTCTCTCTCTCTCTCTCTCTTTCTCTCTCTCCCTCCCTCTCTCTCTCCCTCACCCCCCTCCATGTCTGTCTGTGTGTGTGTGTGTGTGTATGTATATAAATAACTATACCCTCTTTTATCTCTGACATTCCCTGTTCTGAGCTCCTCCCAGCTCTGACATTGCCTGGTCTAAGAGTCCTTTCTGCTCTGACACTGCATGTTCTAAGATGTCTGAACTCTGACATCTTTATCTCCACAAAAAATGGTGTGTAGATCAAGCAAGCTAATAAGTCAGAGTACTTTGGAAAACCTTAGAAGGGTGGCTTAGCTTTGGAAGAATTGTCACCACCATTATTTATTATTTTAATAATGCAGAGGTTTCCAAGGCTTAGCCCCTGCTGCTCCTTCCTCTAGGAAGGCCTCTCCTTTTCTCCTCTCTTTCCCTCCTCCCCTTCCCCTTTTCCTTCCTTCTGCCCTCCCTCCTTCCCTTTTTCTTTTCTCCCTCCCTCCCTTCCTTCATCCTTCCCTTCCTCCCTTCTTCCCCTCCCACCTTTCCTTCTTTCCTCCCTCCTTCCCTCCCCTCTTTCTTTCCTCCCTCCCTTCCTCCCTCCTTCCCTTTCTTCCTCCATCCCTTTTCTCTCTTTCTTCCTCCCTCCTTCTTTCCTCCTTTCCTCCTTCCATCCTCCGTCCTCTTCTTCCTTCCTCTCCTCCTTCCCTTCTTCCCTCCCTCTTTCCTCTCTTCCTTCCTCCCCTCCTTCCTTCCTCCCTCCCCTCCCTCCCTTTCTCCCTCCCCTGCCTCCCTTTCTCCCTCCTTCCCTCTTTCCTCATTTCTTCCTTCCCTCCCTTCCTCCTTCCTTTCTCTCTCCCTCCCTTCTCTCCTCCCCTCCCTCCCTTCTTCCCTCCCTTTCTCTTTCCTTCCTTTCTCCCTTTTTCCTCCCCTTCTTCCTCCCCTCTTTCTATCCTTCCTTCCCTCCCCTGCATTTCCCAGGACCTAAGCCCTCCTCACCTGTTCCTGCCCCAGGATGATGACCCCATGGGGTTTAATGGGATGCCAGGCAGCCAGGTTATCACTGGATCCACGCAGCTGGCCATCCTGGTAGGCTGACCACAGGCCATCCCTCGTGGTCCATGCAATGCAGATGTGATGCCAACGCCCATCCTTCAGATTCAGTGGTAGCTGGGCCACCTGGGAATGGACACAAAAGACCCCTCCAGTAATGGAGGCTCCTGCCCGTGGCTGATCCTCAGGGGTTGGCTGACTTCAGTAATTCACTGAAAACCTCAGAGCTGAAGGGGACGTCAGAGGACATCCATTCCTCCTCACATCAGAACTAGCCCTGCTCTATGACATCCCTGACAAGTGGTCATCTGGCCTCCGTGATGGGGAGCTCACTACCTGTATAGGCAATTCATTCCTCTTTAGGGTAGCTTTATTTTTAGGAATTTTTTCCTTGATTATCAATAACTGATTCTGAGAAACATCTAATGAATACTTACTTTGTGTGAGGGGCTGGCCATGGTTGGGAAGTTTTATTGGTATAGGAAACTCTTAGTATAAAAATTCCTTCCATTGATGATTTACCCAAGGTAGTAAACAGAGAACAACAGTAATACTTGTACTGCATCCCTCCTAAGTGCTGTGGTAAGAATGATGGATTTCGAGTAGGAGAACGCGGGTTCAGATATTGCCTCTGTTGCAAGTTAACTGTGTGACCCTGGGCAAGTCCCTTGCCCTCTCTGGGTCCAAGTTTCCACGTCTATAAAAGGAGGAGGTTGGCCTGAATGGACTCTGAGGTTGTCTGGGGGAAAGTGCTTTGGAAGCGTTACTGCATTAAGGAAATGAGGGTTGTTGGTTAAAGGCCCAGGGCCAGAGATCAGCCCAGCTTAATTAGCATGAATCCATCCTCTGCCCTGCCCTGATCCCCCCAGGGGAGCGGATGGACTCAGATGTCTGAAGCTAAATAACCAGACTCCATGAGGTGTCAGGGGACCTCGGAAATGAAGAGTGACAGCGTGAGCACCCTGTTTCCTGCTCCCTCTTCCCTTTTCTTAACCACTGAGAACTCCACCCTCTGCATGAATATAAAATAGCCTTCCTCCAGCCCCCCCAACACTATCCCAGCCCTCACCACACACACACACACACACACACACACACACACACACACACACACACACACACACACACAGCCTACACCCTGCTGGAGAAGAAATAATCCTGCCTTTCTTGGGACAAAGGAGGTGATAACTCCCGGAGAAACCGGGGGCTCTGTTAGCCACCTCCCCCATATCCTTTCTTGAGGACAAGATGAGAGAAGGGGGTCAGGGTCTGCTCTGTTAAGATGGGCATCAGATCTGGGGGAGAAAAGAGAAAGGAGTAAAATGAGAGATGTCCAGGTAGTTGGCTGGAGGTGAATGCAGAGAAGGGGACCTTTTCCTCACTCCTCCCATGGTCTCCTCCTTCCAAACCCCCTTACTCTCTGGTCCCTTCCTTCCTTATCATGGTGAACAGAGCTCTGAGCTTGGAGGCAGGAGACATCTGGCTTTGAATTCTGGCTCTGACTCTAACTAGCTTTGTGACCCAGATAAAGACATTTGGAGCCTTGGTTTTCTCATCTTTGAGCTGGGGATGCCACTACCTGCCTCATAGGACTGTTGTAAGGAAACCCATTTGTGTCTTCTAGAGTGGTAAACTTACCTGGGCTCATCTGGGTCCCTCTCCTCCCCAACCCCCTCCTTCCCTGGCCTCTGGTCCCCTCCTTCCTCAACCTCCAAGCCAGTCCTCTTCCCTGCTCCTTTCCTCCAGCCCCCACCCTTCCAGGTCCTCTTCCTTCCTCAATCCCTAGCTGCATTTCTTGCCTCAAAAGCTGTCTCCCAAGCCTGGAATGCCCTCCTTCGTCATTGCTGCCTCTTGGAATCCGTGGCATTGTTCAAGCCTCCCCCAAAGTGCCATCCCCTCCACTCAACTTCTGATCCTCCCAGATGCTAATTCTCTCCTCACCCCCAAATGACTATGGATTTCCTTTCTATAGATGTTGTATTCACTGACTTGTGCATATACCTTCCCTATAGAATGAAATCTTGACAGCAGGGCTTACTCACTTTTGTCTTTGCATCTCCAGTACCTAGTATGCAGTTGGCATTTAGTAAATGCTGACTGAACTCCATTCCACTCCCCAGCCCCTCACCTTGTCATTGATGAGCATCTCCATGGGGTCATGCCCTGCCTCCAGCAGCACCATCTCATTGGACTGGCCAGGCACTGAGTAGGAGAAGGGTGTGCCTATCCCCATCCCCCCAGACTTGGACTTCAGCCACATGCAGATGGTAAAGGCATAAAGCTCTGGCAGGGTCCTGCGCACACGGGCATACATGTAATTATTCTTCACTGGGATGTTGATCTTGAAGGCATCTGGGGGGCTGTAGGCTGATGCCCCTGAGAACAAGAGAGGAGGGCAGAAGAGGCAAGTAGAAGTCAGGAGGAGAAGACAGTGGGTCACAGAGGAAGTGACAAAGAGGCAGACTCACCCTGACCACCTTCCAAATGCTCAGATACAAGGAGTTTGTCTATGAGCTGGGGATGCCCACAGTCACTGATTCTAAGACTGTGGTCCAACAATCCCAGACTCCCAGGAGCCCCAAGCTGAATGGAACTTCAGAGTCATCTCCAGATAAGACTAACAGCTGAACTAGAATCTCCTTTCATATCTTCCACAACTGGTTTTGTCTAGTCAAAATCCCAGAAGATCTAGGATGTATAGAATCCTAGCTACCTGTGTGAAACTGGAATGTTTCTAGAGGCACTTAGTGAGCTGATAATAATATCTAGCATTTACTTAATGCCTTAAAGTTTGCAAAGTGCTGTACATTCTATGTTTTCTCAATATATTTTTATTTATTTTGTTAAATATTTCCCAATTACACATAAAACAATTTTTAACATTCATTTTTTAAAAAAATTTTAATTCCAAATTCTCCCCTCCTTGAGAAGGCAAGTAATTTGATATTGATTATGCATATGAAGGCATACAAAACATATTTCCACATTAGCCAATGTATATGTTATATGTTACTATGTTAAATGGATGTTAAATGAAGTGAATCAGTTCTATAGAATGCAAGGTCCTTGAGGGCAGACTTTCACTTTTATCTCTGCATGCCCAAGCACAGTGCCTGACACATAATAAGGCCTTAATTATGGATTGATTGATTAACCTTTACTGTCTTGTTGGTCCCCAACTCTACATAACCCCAAGCATCCGGGTATTCTCCTTCCACTCCCAACTGGAGAAAGTCATTAAAACTGCTGGATGCATTCACTGTGAGCTCATGTTTGGCCAACCCCAAGTGGGTCCTCACTGCTATATGGCAACTCTTTTACTGATCTGTTTTTTTTAATGATATTCTGTTATCAGTCGTGTTTTCTGCTCGCTTATTGACTCACTCTCACATTCCCCACAGCAGCTGCTCCAAACCTCCTCAAAGTCCTATCTCAGTGGATGGTTCTCCTTCCTACTTGACTGAGAAGCTCCAGACCATCTGCCATGAGCTTCTTTATCTCTCCTCCTACAGATACCAAAACCTGCTTGTCTTCTATCTTCTTCTCCTTTCTTCCAGCATTTGGGAAAGAGGTGGAGGAACCCTGAGAAGACCAGCCCTTCTTACTTGTGTCCCAGATCCCATTCCCTCCCACTCCTGCAGGACCAGCCTTCAAATAGTAATCCCCTTCTCCAGCACCATTTAAAATCTCTCCCTCAGCAAGGACTGTTTGCTGCCTGCCTACAAATATGCCTAGGTCTCCTTAGTCTTCGCCCTGCCTCATACTCCTCTGGAAAAAACCAAGACAAAACAAAATGATGACCAAAACCCTTTCCTTGGTCCGGGACCTCCTCTCAGGCTCCTAGTTCTGGAGCTGGATGGCTATTCAGCCCAACCCCTTCCTTTAGCAATGAGGAAACTGAGACCCAGAGAAGATCATCAAATTAAAGCTTGAAAGGACCTCAGAGCCATCTAATCCAACCTCCTTGACAAATGAGAAAACTGAGGTTCATGGAGGTTAGGTGGCTTGCCCAATCACATGGCTACTATCTAAGGTGGGTTTTGAACTTAGGTCTTCCTGACTCCAAGTTCAGTGCTTTATCCACTATGCCCTCAAAGTTCTCCTTCCCCAGCTCTACCTCCTTGATTGAAACTACTCTCTCCATGACCTCATGACAGAGGATCCTAGGATTTAGAGCTGTAAGGGATTCTGGACATCACTTAGTTTTACCCACTCCCCTACCTCCAATTTTGCAGAGGAGGGAAATGAGGCCAAGGGAAGTGACTTGTTTAAGGTCACATAGCTAGTAAATATCAGAGACAGGATTTGAAGCTGGGTCCTTTGACTTCAGAGCTCTCTTCCCTGTAGCATGTTGCCTCCCAATGACCTTTTTTCAGTCCTCTGCCTCCTTAATCATTTTCCACTTGGCCAGTGTCTCCTGGATAATTCATCTCTCTTCTTGCCTTCTTGTCTCTCCTGCTTTTACTACTTCTCAGTCATCTTCAATGATGCTTCTTTCTCCCACCAGTGAGTGTGGCTATCTATCTCCCAAGACTCTGGCCCAGGGTTGGGGAACCTTCAGGCCACATGTGGCCCTCTAGGTTCTCAAGTGTGGCCAAACTTCATAGAACAAATCCCCTTAATAAAAGTCCTGTAAAACTTGGACTCAGTCAAAAGGCTACACCCAAGGACCTAGAAGGCCACATGTGGCCTTGACGCCAAAGGTTCCCCACCCCTGCTCTAGCCTCTTCTCTTTCCTCTCCCCAGGCAATGTCATCCAATCTCATGGCTTCAAAGATGACCTCTATGAGGATGCCTTCCTTACATGTAGTTCCAGCCCTGACTTCTTCCCTGAGCTCCAGACCTGAAATCCCACCTGGCTGCTGGGCAGTTCCACCTGGACAGCCTGCCAGCACCTCATACTCAACATATCCCAAAGTGAACTCATCACCTTCCTTTGAAAAACAAATACATTTTGCTGATGCCTTGTGTATTTATGTCACTGCCATTTCCCATCATGCCCTCCTTCGAGACAGCCCCCAGCCCCAACTGAGGAAAACATCTGATGCAGAGACTGTCTCCTGACAACGCATACTCTGTCCTGTCCCTGTAGTATACTACCTCTCTGCTGTAGGTATGGAGGAGGGATGTTTCATTAGCTCTTGTCCCCAACATTCATTGGTTTTTTCATTACTCAGTAAATTCATCTTTCCCCAAAATGTCCCTGTCTTCCCACCTGCCCTTGTTCTGTTGAGGTCACTCCTCATCTTGAAGTCACTCAGGCTTGAAATCTTGGAGTCACCTGTGACTTCTGTCCTCATTCTCTCTCTATCTCACCAGTTGCCAAATCTCCATTTTATCTACACAACATTTCTTCCATCTCTCTTCTCTCCACTCACATCACCATTACTATAGTCCAGGCCTTTATCACCTGGAGCATTGCATTAGCTTCCTAAGTATACTGGGCTGTATCCATAATCTGGTATCCTCTCTCTCCACAGAATTGTCAAAGCAATCTATTTAATCCACAAGAACGAGCCCTGACTCTGTGGTCAAGAGGAGCTGGTTCAAATCCTCCCTCTGTAGTTTTCTACCTTCATGACCACAGGGATGTCCCTTCCCCTCCCTGGACCTCAGTTTCCTCATCTGTAAAATGAGGGGTTTGGAGATGGTCTCATAGGTCTCTTCCAACTCTGGATCTCTGAGCTCAAAAACCTTCAGTGACTTCCAACTTCCTGCTGAATAAAATTACAACTTGTTAATTTAGCATTCAAACCCTATGGTCTGGCTCCGACCTACCATTCTAGCCTTATTTCACTCTCCTTCCTTTCCTGTGTTCTACGCCCAGGCAAACAGCACTGTCCAAGGTCACAGCCCTAATCCTGTCTTGCCCCATCTCTTCTATCCCTAATTCCCCATTAGAATGTAAGCTTCTTGAGGGCAGGGGCTGATTTTTGCCATACTTTGTGCTTAGCACAGAGCCTGGAACACAATAGGCAATTAATAAATACTTATTGACTAACAGACTGACCATTCAACACAAGACTTCCCCTCAGCAAGACTGGCCTCTTCCCATATGTCTGCCTAGATAACTCCATTTTAAAGTTGGGGAAACTGAGTCCAGGGAGGATAAGAGATGAAGCTGTAGTTCATATTCCATCCCAGAGGCCTTTCTGCTAGACCGAGTCATTCCCTTTCCTGTCCCCAGCACCTAGAACAGGCAGGTACTCCCTCAGTCTTTACTGAACAAATGAATAGGACCATAGGCCAGAGAGGCCCCAGAGACCATCAATCCATTCTTGTGGAGTGTGCCTCCCTTCCCCCTCACCAGCTCTACTTTGCTCCTGATGTCAAACATCCCCAAGCCAGCCCACAGCAGCCCAAGCAGCCTGGGGCAGAACCTGCACTTGCTGCTCTATTCCCCCCCCCGCCCCCACCCCAAGTCCTTGGCAGCTTCCCTGCAGGTCTCACCATGTTCCAGCTCCGCCACCCGGTCCTGCAAAGCGCTCAGCTCCTTCTCTACTGCCTGCTGCTGCTTGTGGCTGCTGCTGCTCAGAGATGAGCGCTCCTTCTCCAGGGCCATGACCTTGGACAGCAGCTGAGCCTCCAGGGTCTCCATCTGGGTATGGAGGGGGTCCTGAGCTGGGACAGGCCGGGCTGTGGTGGCTGAAACGTTTCCATGGACTGGGAGCTCCTGCTGTTTGGGGGGAAAAAGAGAGGAGGGAAGGTCATTGGGAGCCCACTCAGGACCACCTGGAGAACTGACCCACCTCCCTTCTGACATCCTTACCTTCATCGTCCATCATCATTATAACTCACTTTTTACAGGTTTGCAAAACATTTTACATTTAGCTGGTGGTACAGTATCTACAGCCTTATCCCTTTAGTCAGAAAGTCCTGAGCTGGGTCTTACCTCAGACATTTACTAGCTATGTGCACAAGGCACCTCTGACTGGCTCACTGGAAAAATGGGTTAATAACAGCACCCCCTCCCCAGAGTTGTTGTGAGGATTGAATGAGATATTTGCAAAGTCCTTTCAACACTATAGAAGTGCTAGCTCTTATTAACATCATTTCATCCTTACAACAGCTCTGGGAGGTAGGTTGCTATTATTATATTATAACATATTATGGTTATATTATGATACATAAATGTCATCTGTTGCATTACTGCAGTGTCTTTTAAAAACACTCTTATTGATAATTTTTGATTTTACATCATCATTATTTCTGACTATAGTCTTTAACTGTCCCTTATATTAAAAAAAAAAGAAAAGAAAGAGGGAAAAAAGTAACTTTTCAGAACTCACCAGTGTGTCAATGGGGTCTGACAGTACATATGCAGTATTCCATACCTATAAACCCCACCTTCTACTGCAGGATCTTTCTGCTTCTAATTTTTCCAAGTTCCTTTCACAGACACATAAACTCTATAAGTATTCCTGTGAGGTGGGATGGCTTAGGGAAGATTTCCCCCATTTTACAAATGAGCAAACTGAGATCTGGAAAGCAGAGTGATTTGTCCATGATGGCCAAGTCCAGTCCAGAGGCCAGGTCTCCTGACCCCTTGCCAAAGGCTTTTTGTACTAACTCAGGCCCTGGGCCACCAAACACTGGTTTAATCCTTGAGAAGCTCCATCAGCAACCCTCCCATCCTAATGCAGAGGTAGCTACTGCCCAAGCATCTCCTCTCAAACTAGTGGGGAGGTGGGGAGGCAGAATGAAGACAAAGATTCTAAGAGTTTGGACAAGGAAGACCCTTCCCATCTCTAATGAGCTCTGGTTCTTATAACTCACATTTATGTGCTGAATTATGGGCAATGGAAGGACAGCTTCCCCAGTGGTGGCCACAGAGCCTCCGCTAGATGGGAGACCCACCCCCTCCTCCAGTCAGTGTAGGGACACACCCTGGAGCCTGCTTTCTTTCTCTCTCCCTCCCTCCCTCCCTTCCTTCCTTCCTTCCTTCCTTCCTTCCTCCTCTCTCTTCTTTCTCCTTTCCTCCATTCCTTCTTTCTTTCTTTCTTTCTTTCTTTCTTTCTTTCTTTCTTTCTTTCTTTCTTTCTTTCTTTCTTCTCTCTCTCTCTCTCTCTCTCTCTCTCTCTCCTCTCTCTCTCTCTCTCTCTCTCTCTTTCTTTCTTTCTCAGATGGGAAAACTGACACCCAGGGAGGGAAAGAAGCTGTGGCTGAGCTGGGATTTAATGCCAGGTACTTTTTCCACTGTACTATATAGATTCTTCCCCTCCTTCCCTAAATAAGGCAGATTAGAACCAGCAACCTACATGTGCCTAGCATTTGTTTCCTTCTTAACCCCCATCTCTTAGAGTCACTAGTTTCCTTCCAAGCTTTCTGTCCCTCTCCTTTCCCTCTCTCTCATCCTCTCCCTCTATCTCCTTCATCCTCTTCCTCTCTCTCATTCTCTCCTTCTCTGTCCCTCTTCCTCTGTTCCTCTCCCTCTCCCTTTCTCCCTCTCTCCCCTCCCTCCCCCTTTCCCTCTCTGCCCCTTCCCCTCCTCTCCTTCCTTCCATGATTTCCACCTCTGTTTGAGGGCATAGAAGGCTCATTATCAGCCAGAATCATTAAGAGGATGCTTAATAATTCAGCACACTTCCCAGAGACTAAGAAATCCTTTCTGTGTCTTTCCATCCTTCCTTCCCTACCCCCACTCCCCATGGGTCCAATGTACTTTCTGGTCCCCAATTTGTTCCTAGTTTCCAGCAGGCTAATAGAACTGACACTGCTCCAGTAATTCTGACCAGCTGGTGTCTTCCCAGCCTAGAACGATAGATAGAACCTCTTGTCTCAGCTCCAGCCTTGGGACCATGTAGGCAGACCCAAATCAGGAACTTGAGGTGGGAAGGAGGATGGTATTGTATGACAGAGGGTGGGAGGCTGATCACTTTTTCCCCCTTTGCGATGCCATGACTAAGGGAGGAGAAACTGAGGCAGAGAGAACGAAATTTGCCTTGGTCTTCTTGCTCAAGAGGAATTCAGAGCTCTCTCTGCTGGTGGTCACAAATGCAAACAAAGAAACAAAGAAAATGCACTCAGGCAGGGGCAAGGCTAGATCCCAAAGGACAGAGTTCTAGGCATAGTTCCATCGAGATGGAAAATCTGAGATCGTTCGTTGCATTTGAGGGTCAAGAATTCAGACTTTGGCTCTATGTGCAGATGAAGCTGGGGGTTGGGGGAGGTGGAGAGTTCATTTCATTCCCCAGAGGCAGCGAGATAGACTAGAAAGTGGTCTAGGAGAGGGGTTAGCAAACCTGGGTTCTGCCTTTCTAAGTCATAATTTACTACTATGTCTTGGGCAAATCATCCCACTTCTCCTCATCCATGAAATGGTGATAAAATCCCCTCCCCTGCCTCCTTCCCAAGGATATTATGGAGAAAAAAGAATAATCATGGAATCAAAGATCTGAATATGGAAGAAGCCGACCTCCGCACTGTGTTACAGTTTAGAAAGCTGAGGCCCAGAGAGAGAGGAAATGATGGATTATTTAGAATCTGGATCTAGACCTGGAGGGAACCTCAAAGGCCCTTATTCCAACCCCATTCTTCAGCCCCATTTTACAGAGAAGGAAGGAAATTGAGGCATAGAGAGAGGAAGAGACTTAGGATCATAGCTATACAGCTAGAGAGACCTCAGAAGCTATACCTCTCATTTTACGAATGAGGAAACTGAGGCCCAAAGAGACGGTGACTGACCCAAGGTCATACAGGAATGACCTGGCTGCTCTGATTCCACAGCCAAGGCTCTCTTTACACTGGTGCCCTGCCTTGTCTGAGAGCACTTTATAAATGTGAGTATCATATACCTGTGAGTGGGGATTGCATTGGGTTCCTACTGAACAATTTGGAACACTGCCCAAAGGGCTATAAAACTGTGCAGACCCTTTGACCCAGCAATACCACTACTAGGTGGATCCCAAAGAGTTCAAAGAGAAAGAAAAAGGACCTATTTGTACAAGGGTATTTATAGCAGCTCTTTTTGTGGTGGCTAAGAATTGAAAATCAAGGGAATGCCTTTCAGTTGGGGAATGGCTGAAGAAGTTATGGTCTACAAGAGTGATGGAATATTACTGTGCTAGCAGAAATGACAAGCAGGGTGGTTTCAGAAAAACCTGGAAAGGCTTATGTGACCTGATGCAAAGTGAAGTAAGCAGAGCATTGTACAAAGTAACAGCAATATTGTAACAATGATCAACTGTGGAAAACTTAGCTGCTCTGATTGAAGACAATTCCAAAGGATCCATGATGAAACATCCTATCTACTTCCAGAGAGAACTGCTGAGCTCTGAGTGCAGACTGAAGCAGACTTTAAAATTTTTTCTTTATTTTTCTTTCTGCAACATGGCTAATATGGAAATACATTTTGCATGACTTCACATGTATAACTGATATAATATTGCTTGCCTTTTCAATGGGTGGGGGAGGGGCAAGAGGGAGGGAGAGGATTTAGAATTCAAAACTTTTAAAAATGAATGTTAGAAAGCAATTAATTTTAAAAATGGGTTCCTACTGGCTCATGTGTATAGCTGTACACCCCTTTGTGCAAAAGGTACATTCCGGAAAAGATTGTGTGAACCAAATCTGCTTCAAAGGCACTTTGGAGGCATGCAGTCTTAAAATTGGAGAATCCTGGAGTTGGAAGGGACCTGAGAACCTGTTTGGTTTAATCCCTACCTTCAGGTATGCAGCAAAAATCTTCTCTACAGTAACCCTGACAGAAGGACTGATCTGGCCATTCCTTGAACATCTCCAGAGATGGGGAGCTCATACTTTCCCAAGTTAATGCTATTGCATTATGAACTGTATGTACATTTTATGAACTTGTGTGTACATTCACTCACTATCCTTTTTCCCTATCCCCTACCAGACTGCGAGCTCCGTAAGAGCAGAGACCATGTTTTTGCCTCTATATCCCAGTGCTTAGCACAGTGCCTGGCACATAGTAAGTACTTAATAAATGCCTTACCTATCCAGAATTTAAACTTCTGGGATGTCCCTCAACTGGGGAATGGCTGAACAAGTTACGAACGTGATGGAATACTATGGTGCTGGAGGAAATGATGAAGGGGAAGGTTTCAGAGAAACTTGGGAAGACTTATATGATCTGATGCAGAATGAAGGGAACAGAACCAGGAGAACAATTTCCCTAACAACAGCAATATTGTAAAGATCAACAACTTTGAAAGACAATGGTCAGTGCAATGTCCAACTAGTATTCCAGAGAACAGACAATGTAGTCTGCTTCCCACCTCCTGATGCAGACATGGGGTATAGAATGAGATCTTTTTTGTACATGGTCAATGAGGGGATTTGTTTTGCTTGACTAGGCATGTTTTATATAACGGTTTTGTTTTTCTTTTCTAATGGGAGGGGAGGGATGAAAAATGAATGCTTGTTAATTGAAAAAAATGTTCAAGGCTATAAGCTCCTTGAAATAGAGGCTTTCATTTTTGTATTAATATCCACAGAGCCTAGCACAGTACCTGGAATAAATGCCTTGTCTCCAACACTTCTGCTTAAGGATCAGATTAAAGAAATCCCTCCTCTAATTCCTCCATTTCTTTCTTCTTCTTCTTCTTCTTCTTTTTGCACGAGGCAATTGGGGTTAAGTGACTTGCCCAGGGTCACACAGCTAGTAAGTATCCAGTGTCTGGTCTGAGACAGTATTTGAACTCAGGTTCTCCTGAC